TTACAATCAATTCTCGCGTTGAGAATTTTCAGTAATATCCTGTATATGTGAAGAAGATCTATCGAGCTCATGATCAACGTTGTAATAAACAATAAAATCTATCGCGTACATTGACAACTGGATTATTCGAATCGTTTTCTTGTTCTCGATATTTTCCTCTCGCGCCACCCGAAAGGTACACGATATTTTCTCACCTTTTCGTTGTTACGTCAAAGGCCAACGGTGTCTCGCAATATACAACAAATTTGTCTATTCGGTACAAAATTCAAAACTGAATTGTTTAAACGTTGAATCTTGCATAGCTGGAATAACTTGCACGTCGCTATTGTCGGAAACCGACAAATCGAAAGATCTACAAACTCGTAGAGCACATTAATTTCCTGTTCTTTCGTGCTCGTTCGAGGTTGCTATAACTTAAGATGCAAATCCTCTGGATGGTTCGCCCATTCCTCTAATCCTAATTCGCCATCCTGACGGCTAATTAATACGGTGGCCATTTGTCACAGTCGCGATAAACCATTTCGCGAATCGCCATTGTTTCGAAGTCGACGTCGACGTCGACGTCTCTATACACATCGCGTGCGCTGTTTAAAGCAGACGTCTGTTATTTGGTATAGACAAATCGAAACCAGCGTAAACTTATGGACGCCTTTACGAAGGTGGAATCTTTACGAGGACAATCGACCGCACGGCTACATTTTCCACCGGCGATATCGTAATTCGACAACGATCGGCCCGTTAATAAAGTAACAATAAACGTCGAACCTGGACCACGAAGAGCACCACCGGCAGCAGTTCGAGCAGTCCTGGGTTTGTCTTTGTCGCCGAGGCAATCGATAGAGCTTAATTGACTCGAACATGAGAGAGCATTCGTACGTTCAACGTTACATCGACTCCGTCGGTGAATCGGGTCACGGTTTCGACTGTTCCGAAATTTTCGAAGGCCGTTAGTCGAGCCACGTTAAGAGAAACTCGATCGTGTGGTTACCGCTGCTATTTCGTCCAGCCTTTGTACAAAAAATATATATATATATTTCAAGAGGAAATCAATCGTTAGCGTTCAAGAAAGCTGAAAGCTCTCGACAAATTTTCGGCTCGTTGTTGTTACTCCTTCCGATTAACCTTATTGTCGCGTGTAAATTATTCCTATAAATTTAATTGGCAATTGAATATTTACGCTACCGATCACAAGTGCGTCGTGCCAGATATAAAGATAAAAGAGCGGAACTAACGTAAAGAGAGGAACAGCGAGAAATTGCGAATCGCTCGTTTTCCTTACTTTGCCATTTCTAACGTTAACGCGTATACGTTCGCCGAAGCAACTCTCAAGAACTCGTTGGAAGCTGTGTAATATCGAAAACGAGATAATCGAAATGACACGGAGGTGTTAGAAGAAAGGTATTGTACGCGAAACATAGATAAACGATTGACTACACAATGGGCTGGATAAAGGGGTTACCGTGAAGAGTGTTTCGCGTTTTATATCATCCAATATGCACCGCTCCCGTGCCTCCCGCATTATACACGCTCCAAGTGACGAATTAAACCTCCAATTACAACTTCGATTAATGACCACCGTTGCGGCTGGATAACAGCAGAATTTTTCAAACCGAACACCGGGCAGCAAACGAATTTTTTTTTGTTTGAAACGTTCATCGTGTTAGTGGCTGCGTTTTCCGCTGCAACGAGATGAAATAACTCCCGGTGATTAATCATCTCGTTAAAAAACTTGCAGCCATGGGATTGAACACACGCGATGCACCAGCATCATCGAGTGTCCGTCCTTTCCTATCGATACACCAATTCCCGTTACTCGTACGTTAAAAAGACGTACGCGGAGTATTTCTGGTTATCGTCGCGTGTCCAGAATTCTGGCTCGAAGCATCTTGACTACTTTAATGGCATTAAGCGATTCGTTGAAACAATTGGAAGGTAACGAGGCGGAACTATGGTTTGAAATTGTTCGAAATTCAACAGAGATATAACTTTCAATGGAATGATTGTTTTACGGTAATTTTCCTCTCTATTTCCTTTTCTCGGTTGGGGAACGTAGACGTTATAATAGAATCGCACAATTTATGACCTTTGCCACAGGCTTAATAGAAAGTAGATGTCGCGATATTTTATAGGTTCAGTGACACGCTGATCGGCGATAAATTACACAATCCATCAAGCAGCTACTCGTAACGAAAGCAAAACAACGGCGCGTATTTGCTGGTTGGAAAATTATTTTAAAGACCTTGGTACGCGTGGCGATCGCGACGAAGCTGTTTGAAGAACATCGTGAAACTTAAAATTGTACGGTTCACGTATTTCCAATATATTATTATTATTTCCAATATGTACCGCGAATACGTTCGTACGCTGCCACGTTATATATTCATTTGTTGCGTATAAATACTCGCCCCAGATGCTTCTCGTGAAAAATTCCTTGAAAAATGCAAGCAAAAGTCGATGAAATGCCCCCAAAATACCCACGTGCGATTCCATCCACTGACTAAATGTAGGAATTTTCGCGTATCAACGATGACACCGATAACGCGGAATATACGATATCATCGAATCAGCCACGATAAAATACGCTCGATAGAAAGAATCGATAGCAATTTAGATGCGAAAATCGTAAATAAAAAATAGAAAAACGGAAAGCCGGTTGAAAAGGATATTTTGAGAGGAACGACGGACAATTTAACGAAGTTTGTAACTTTCGCAGGGAGAAAAATACGATAACTGCTGATGATAACGCTCACCGTCGATCCAACGTCAGGCTGCCAATAGTCGTCCGGTCTTCTCTGTTCGAGGCTCGGCCGTCGTATGCACGCCGCGCGTCACATTTTTGGTCGTCAGTTTCCGGTAATCAGCCCTTCGATCGGTTGGCTCGTCGAGCCACAGCGGTTCGTCAATTTCTATCGTAGACTATATCGTCTGTGCAGAAAAGAAACAGAGCTAAATTAAGACGTTGGACGATCTTCGTTGCAAAGAAAATCGTCGATGGTTTAACTATGGCGATGTAATTGTACTTTTTTCTTGTATTTGTAATTATACCAGCTAGGTAGTATCGAACTTCTCTGTTGGGGGGAGTGCAACGATCGAAGAGAACGTAACCGACTAATGGACGACCAACTAGATTTACGCGTTCTATCGAACTAACAACGGAACAAAAGAAAAACTGACTCGATAAACGTATAAATGACACGCGGTGATTTATGCTGGGCCAATCGCGCCACTTCTAATTCCCAGCCAATACACATTCTATTTAAGCCAGGCCATCGATCCTTCTTTCCTTCGACAGGCATTCTCATCTTTTACGTTCAATCTCGAAATTGAAACATAACGAACGATAGGAATAATTGAAATAAATCTTTTAACCGCTAAAACTTATGAAACGATCGATCAGCCAGGCTTGTTTAAAGCCTTAACGAACTCCCCTTAGGTCGGTTAATCCTGCTTGATCAGTAACTAACGACTAACACCACTCTGAATACTACTTGATTGCCAAGTACAGACTAACTGATTGCTTCCAACTCTGATTGCTAACCGAATCCGAAATGCTGATTCCAACGCTTAAGTTACACACCCATCGACGACTAATCGTAACTTTATCGCCATAAAACTATCGCACCTTGTATCTCTAACGCGAAAAGGAAGCCTTCGTGGATGCATAAGAAGGACAATCTCTGTTACGTCGAGCGACACTCTACCTGGCCAGGCCATAAACCTCGGGCCAGACGGACACCAGACGTCCGCTCATCCTTACGGCGTACCCTCGATAGTCTTAAGGACTCATCAAATTCCAGTAATTTGCCAGCTAAGGTCCTTCAGACCCAACAAATATCCTTTTCTCAATCACTTTCTAAAGACTATTGTCTACTACGGCTCGACAATGGAAAGTTAGTTTTTCTCAAGTACGATACTTCCTACTAGCAACTTTCTATCGAGGGGGCTAAGACCTTCCTAGTCCACCAACCTTCGTTTATCCAATCAGAAGCAACGTATACTGTCCTCGCTTTCCTGACCAAAATGTCACGAACAAATCCGATGGTCCAGTGCGCTAGACACACCCATCGCTAACTTTCCTCCGACACAGCATCGGCACTGTAACTTACTTCTTCTACACCGCTGGAAAGGTCAACGTCTAAGTGTAACTCATATCAACTATCCAAGTCGGTTCTCGGGATTACCGAACATTCACTTGCTCTATTAAGTATCCTCTAATGTTACGTCCACTAACATACTAAATTCAACTTTAAGAGCCTTGCTCTATTGTGCATATCTACCTTATTTTCGTGCGACAAAGTGTCATCTACGATTTATGTCTACTCAACAGTGTAACTTAAGTGTTGGAAATAAAACCTTATAATTCTGTGAATCACAGTGTTATACTAACTGAATCACCCCTATTATCTTAACGGAAATCAGGGGATCGATCGACTCGCGGTATCGATTATTATAATCGTAACGGGAATTTACGACTCCCGTTGACGTCTCTCCTCGCGATTGCGTCTTCACGCGATTGGTCGAAAATACAATCTCTGTCGCTGTTACGTTGCTGGAGAACGTCGATTCTCAATTTCGTCTGGTCGCAGTCCCGTGAACGACGCAGGGTCAAGTTTAGCCGATCTTGGTCGGATTAACCGTGGCAGGTTTGTCGGCCGGAAGCACGTTCCGATAGCGAAAGAGGGTATTTTGCAGCGCAGCCGCGTTTCTACGCCAGTAATTCGGAAATTTCGCTTCTCCTTCGGCTTCGATACGAACGAACAGGATTTCGCCGTAGCCGTCGCGCCTTCGCAAACGGAAAATTTAATTCCAGTCTTAACCCAGTTCCGGAAGAATGCGCACTAAGAAGGACCTCGAAACGAGCGTCGATACGCTTTTGCATGCGCCACGAGACCGCGTCGAAGCAGCTCGAATCAACAAAGCCAACACACACAACTAGAAATACCGTATAAACAGAGAAATCGACTGTCCGATCCTTCTACAAACCAGAGGAGAGACCGTAGTCCTCTTTTCGTCGAATTGCGCACGAAACTAGAATTCGTGGAAATTCCCATGCGACGTTGCACGTATTAACATCGGCCCCTTTGTTGATTGTCCAGGAAACTCCATGTCGTATAATTAATACCATTGTACGAGTTTTCTTGTTTGAACTGCGGATCCCTAATTATTATCGCGGTTGTAGAAATCATCCAAGTTACCAAGTTACTTTACCTACGCGTTCCGGCGAGAACACCGGCGCCAATGGAAATGAAGATCACAGATGTCGTTGAGTTTACAGAAAGGGTGAAGGTTGATGGAGCGATTGTTTGATGTAAAAGATTGATTCCTAACACGCCACGTTTGTGTATAATACGCGATGTGATCGAAGATCCAACGGCGAAAGTCAACGAAGTGGCGATTTAGCAAACACGCGGTATTTCAAATTCTTCCATAAACCATCCATCAATACGTACAGGATTACGTATTCCAGGATCATATATCCCGATCATCGAGGACATTTTTCCACGCGCGAGTCGCTGGTTTTCCGTCTCTTTACGGCCAGTCGTATATCGATGGAACTGCCGATCGAATTATCGTAAAATCGTCGAGTCGGCCGAATTCACGAAGAAATCGTCGTAGCACGTTAACGTTGTAAAAAGTTGGCTGAGAAAAACTCGTTTCACGCTACGTTTTCCACCTACCATCGTCGATTCGAACGATTCAAAAGCTATTAATTAATACGCAGCCGTCTCGAACGAATAGCATCGATGCGGCGAACGCCGATAACATAATTTCGCGAACGATCCCGACGTATTTGATTTACATATTCGATTACTAACGCAGAATCCGCCCATTAAACAAAATGAGCATAATTTGCACGTTTATAACCGAAAAGTATTGCACCGATATTCCGATAAACTATCACGGACGAGGGCATAAAGGCAATATTATGATATTATCGATCTTGTCCACGGACTACTCATCAACGATTATTTTTCCATTGTCTCGATCGAATCGTATAAAACCGAAGTTGTGGATGATCGGGCCGATATCCCGTACACGATCATTGACCTCTGCAACGTGTCGAGTGGTCCGCGCACGTGTTCCTACCGTTTTTCGGATAATGCAGACACGTTGGTATTGCCGAATTTGTGACGCGTGTAGAACACATGAAATTGCAGCAGTTTCGCTGATCGCCGTGTCGATCGGAGTGTTGATAACCCACGAACAGAATACCAGCTCTTTCGTAGATTACAATGGACTTTTAGGATCGTGCCATTTCTTCGATAATCTACTATCTGGAGAATTTATAACGAAAGAGATCGATATTGTCGGTCATCGAAGAAAATTCTCCATTTCGATTTTTCTTTCTTCTTGTAACGCTTTGTTACGCTTCGTAGCATACCGATCGCGCGAGAAAATATCCCACGACGATGAATATCCAAGCGAATTCTTTTGTTCGGATAATGTAAAATAATATTGCCGCGGCCATTAAAACGTTCGGTAAATTTCACGCAAGGTTCTCAGGCAGAAAAGAACTCATTCGATGTTCCCCGGACGCGACAGATCAAAAGGCTCCGCGCAAGTTTTTCAAATCCTCTTTGGGAGTCAGCGACGTTCTGCTTGAAGGTGCATCGCAGTTCCGCTCGTAAGACGTTCCTCTTATTTCCAAATTCCCTTTGATATCTGAAATGTCAGCGCGCCAAGCACGACGTAATGAATCGAGCGACCATCGTTATTTGACTGACCGACACAAAGAAATTCCTCTACCTAGGGAGCTAGTTTCAACTTTGTCGTCGGTGCGACTCGAATTACCTATCGACCATTGCTGATAAAAAAAAAAACCAGACACAGAGTCTACAGATACAACAGCGGAACGATGTGCAAACTTGAAATTAAATTAACTTTCTGTCAAAGTGGATCTCTGTTCAACGTTTTTCTCTTACTCGTGAATTAACGTTCATGGCTTAAACGATTTCAATGGCGCTGTAAATGGAAAGACTACAGCAGAACGGTCCCGCTAACATAATAAAGCCATTACGCAAAGCGACATCACTTTTATAGATTTTTCCTTCTTTAAACTCGCCTGCATTAATCCCGAAATCTCGTAATACGAAACGCGCGAATCAACAATTTCCTCGCGACGTTCTCGATAATGATAAATTAATACGGCAGAACGTAGAATCCAGAACGAGTTATATTCTCGTTCGGTGGAAGTTGCATCGTTGATGCCACAGCGTCGAAACATTTTACTTTACAGAGATGAAAGAAAGGAGCGACTGTAAAGGATCTGTGGGAGGTTAAACGATGAGATTACTGGTAAGTAAAATCGTTATTATATTTGAAATCGTCGATACAATGTACTAGTCGCGAAACGGTGTGCGTAACGTCGTGTGGCGGATCGGTATCAACAGGACGCCGTCAGGTCGAGGCATCAACGCGGTGCAACACCTCCCGGGCGATCCGCTGGTACCAACTAGAGGGCTACGACGACAACGAGTCTGTCTAACTCGCTAGCGGTCGAATATACGAGCGATTGATACAAATATCGCACCTAGCGAGATTTCCTCTACGTCTAGTCCCGGGACGAAACGCAAACTCTCTTTTCATCCGCCACAGTCGTTTGGTCGCTGTTTATAATAATCCGTTTGCGATCGCGTCCGTTTATTTATAGTAGTCGGGGGGGAATCGGAAGATTCAAATTTGTCTTTGTTTTACGGTTACGGGTAGCGGCGTCGTTGTTTTGCTCGGAGTTTACGTGTAGCGGCGACGTTGTTTTGCTCGGAGTTTGTTTATTCTTACGTTATACGTAACCTAACAAACTTCATACTCCGAAGCAAAACAACAACACTTGAATCGAATTCTAACTCATGTGCCGCTACAGATCTTTACCGGTGTACGATAACCGAGTGTAAAATATAAAATTGTCGATATACAGGGTGGTTGGTAACTGGTGGTACAAGCGGAAAGGGGATGATTCTACGCGAAAAAAGCAGTCGAAAATATAGAATAAAAATTTTTCGTTCGAGGCTTTGTTTTCGAGAAAATCGACTTTGAATTCTCGCTCGGTACGCGTGCGGTGCCTTATAATGGATCTCACTGTAGATTGTTGTCTCGATTGACGTTATTTTTTAAATTTTTTAAATTTTTAAATTTTTAAATTTTCAAATTTTCAAATTTTCAAATTTTCAAATTTAAAAATTTTAAAATTTTTAAATTTTTAAATTTCTATTCTATATTTTCGACTTCTTTCTTCGCGTAGAATCACCCCCTTTCCGCTTGTACCACCAGCTACCAACCACCCTGTATATTAAATATGTATTTAATATCTATGTGTAAAAAATGTAAGGTAATAATACAAAGAGGAGCCACACCTCACGGATTTCAACGACCTTTAAATAAATACGTACAAAGGACGACATTCTGAGCAACTTTTCCCTATACGTGTTATCGCCGTGACCTTAGTTTTCGAGATATACATAAAAATATTTCGAAGATGGTATCTCACTGGGGATAGCCATCCACATGTTATATTATTATTCCACTAAGCTATAATATTTTACCAAATGTCCTACTGGACAAATTGTAAAATTCAAATAAATAAATACAAAAAAAATTCATAAAAATAGTTCTCGTACTGTTTCGTTGGATTTGGGATTATCCCCATTGTCTCGTGGTACGACGCCTTTACGCGTCTCACGTTTATTAAACTTAATTCATCGATGCTAATCAGCTGTAATATAAATAAAATAAGTTTTACTCGTACGTTGAGTCATGCTTGTATCCCATTGACCGTGGATTCGTTGTCGAACCTGAATTCGTTGTCATCGACATCTCCATCATCCGATCGCTGCTATTGTTTGTAGCCTCTTGTAATAACCACATTTGTACCAATAAATATCAGCTATAACCGCGATGGTAAATTCGAGCGAAGGTTCGTGAAACGCCCAAAATTCCAACCTTAACCTGACATATATATTCGATAAAATACTAATACGTAGAGGTAAAAACCATACAAATTAAAAAGTAATAAGCGTGAAATATTTACAAGGATCGGAATAGATTGGATGTTCGCCCATGTAGAATTAAATCGTAGACATATCGCGCTGTTAAAATATCTATTCACGAAGCGAGACACGGATCGCGATCGTGTTAGCGAGGGCTTTACGATTTCCTTAATCCACAAACGTTCGGATCGTCCAAGCGAACGGAATCGGTTTGACGATTTTAAAGGCAGCATATTTCGCGTTCGAGCAAACGCACGTGAAATCTCTTCCAATAGCGTGTGTAATTCGGTGTAAACGTGGAAACAATAACGACCCCTCGTCTGATGACACGACACGTTTCAACGCCTCGAAACATCTTCCTTTCTCTTCCCTTTGTCTCTTCGTTCCCGTCTTTCTTTTTTTTTCCTTTAAGAATTCACAGTTTCGGTTCTAAAGAGGAGAAGCAAAAGAGAAACGTTGGTAACGAAGTAGTCGTTTTTACACTTGGTTGTTTGATACAGCGCATCTGTTACAAAATCAGCGAAGCCTCGTTCCTTGGAACAATTAGCGTCACAATTTCCTTGCGCGCAACCTACGTTAATAACAATGCAATTACAGCTCCGCTTTCGCCGCCGAACGCAATAACTCCTCCACTCAAACTCTATTAGAAGAAATTACAAACAACACCGGCGATAAATTCGCGCAGAAAACTTCCAACCTGATGCATTATTTACGCTGCCTCGTGGAGGTCAGGTTCGTGCGGTCTTAACGGGCCAACGAAGATGATATAAAAGTTACGATTTTACTTGATAATCGTGGAAAATGAAAACACGAATGCTCTCCGACGAGTAATAAAGGTATCGATGTTTCCCGGCACCTTAAGATCGACACCTGATATACGAGTTCCGGAGAGTGAACTTTCGCGGAGTTCATCATTCTTACCACGATTCTCGATGATTCGATTTCAGAGAGAAAAGAAGGGCGAATAGAGAGAAGATAGAAACCTGTGGAAGACGATATGGAGGGTGCATTTAAGCCACACGACAT